CTTTCTTCACCATGACCGACCGAAGCAACGCCCTCATTACTGTGGACTAAGCCCCGCTCCACCTGAACTGTTTTGACTCAACTCTTTCTTCACTATGACCGACCGAAGCAACGCCCTCATTACTGAGGACTAAGCCCCGCTCAACTTGAACTGTTTTGACTCAACCTTTCTTCACCATGACCGACCGAAGCAACGCCCTCATTACTGAGGCTAACAGCTGTGCTAAATAAACAAGCCCCGCTCCACTCACTGTTTACTGATATTCTTGGGGGTGGACAAAGAACAAAAATTTTCAACGATAGCCAAAACTTCCGTATCGGTTGGGCTCTAGTATAAAACCCAGCATTTAGTAGTTTAAATTTAAAATCTGATACTTTGTATTTAGAAGTCACTTGATTTGGGAATGTCAAACTGGATTAAAAACAACAAGCGGTAGTTAAAAACTTTGAACTGTATTTAGTGTGTCTCTGGTTAAAAATGATCAGAAAGCCGAACTTGTCGCCTCCTTACCTGCAGCTGCAGAGGCAGAGAGAGGCCCTGAGCCCGTCGCTGGAGCCCCCAGGGCCCCTGACCCCGGCTGTGGAGAGCCGTCACCTCGTACTGCGAGCACAGGCCTGTTCTGGCCACCAGAGGGCCCCTGCTCAGCAGCACGTGATCGCCACACCTGCAAAGATCAGCAAACGGTTGAGCGACGCCACGACGACCACGGTTAAAGTGGAAAAGCAGCTTCAGGTCACCTGTAGAGCGTCACGGTGCCTTTAGGACTCTCCGACGCTCTCTGCTCCACCTCCTCCTGTTCACGCCTGAGGAGACCAAGATCAAAAGTAACGCTCATTATCTTGTTGAAGAAAAAAAACAAGAGCTGGAAAACCGGTGGGTGGGGGGGGTGGGGGGGGGTACCTGCTTTGTGAGAAAACCTCCAAGGCCACAGAAGGTGCCACATCTAGAGGCTCCCAGGCCAAGTCCTGCTGGATCAGCTGATGGGCCCCTTTGGTCAGAGAGCGCAGAGACTCCTGCAGAGAAACACACAGCTCAAATACTCACTTCCTGTTCACATCTAGTACTTTTACTTTCAAATACACAACGCAGGAGGTTCATGCTGTAAACGATCGAGGAGGTAAACTTGAAAGTGCTGCAGGTTGAAGAGCCACATGCTGCTCTAGGGCCACATACGGTTCTTCAACCTGCAACTCTAGGGCTACATACAGGTCTTGAACTTGCGGCTCAAGGACCACATACAGGTCTTGAACCTGCGGCTCTAGGGCCACATACAGGTCTTGAACTTGTGGCTCTAGGACCACATACAGGTCTTGAACCTGCGGCTCTAGGGCCACATACAGGTCTTGAACCTGCGGCTCTAGGGCCACATACAGGTCTTGAACCTGCGGCTCTAGGGCCACATACAGGTCTTGAACCTGCGGCTCTAGGG